TCTTGTGATACAAAATTAAAATTGCTTTCAATAAGTAATTATTAGAAAACGCAAATAGTATTAAGTTTAAGTCGCTTTAAACAATAATTTTAAGACGTCAAAAATTTTTTTTTTACGTTGACCTAACGTTGAAAAAATAATAATAGTAATAGTAATAGTAATAGTAGATGTCCGAAGACGACAAGTGTGTGTATTAATACCACACTTAGACAGCCTTGTCACTAATAATTTCATTGAAAAGGAGCCAATTGTTTAATTGTGATTTAAAACTGTTTATTGATTTTGTATTAACCACTTCTCTTGGTAGTTTATTCCATGTTTTTGTTATTCTGTAAGTAAAGAATGAGTGTCTTAAGTTGCTCTTTGTTTTTTCGCGTTCAAACCTGACACTGTTTCCTCTCGATAACTGAAAATCATTTAGCTTGAAGCTATTTATAAACTTCACATTTTCCATCTTATTTAATAACTTATAAGTCTGGATCAAATCTCCATAAATTCTGCGTTCATATAATTGGGGGAGGCCAAGAATCTCGAGTCTTTTCACGTATTTTATTTTTGCCAAAGTCGGATTGAGTCTCGTTGCCCTGTGTTGAACTTTCCTAAGCATTTCTATTTCTGCTTTAAGCTGAGGGGACTACACTGAAACCGCGAATTCAATTAATGGGCGAACAAACGTCACGTATAAGACTTTAAGAATCTGTGCATCCAATTCCACAAATGTGTTTTTTATCATTCCCAGCATGATAAAAATTTATTTGTCATTGAGCTGCAAGATATAATTTGCTGTCTCCATTTCATGTTTACTGAAAATAATACGCCTAAATCTTTCTAAAGAGTGGTTAGTCTTAGGACAACATTATCTATAGAATATTTGTGTTTTGGATTTTTACAGCCATAGTGTATTATTTTGCATTCTTCTATATTGAATTTCACTAACCATTCTTTAGACCAGTCCCAAGCACTGTTTATTTCTCGTTGAAGACTGTTTATTTTCTCTAATGAGTTTATATTGATCATTATTTTTGTGTCATCAGCATAGAGCTTGGTTATATTTTGTATTCTGTCCGGCAGGTCATTTATGAACACAACAAACAAGATCGGGCCAATTACCGATCCCTGCGGAACTCCGCTGTAAATTTGGCGCCAGCTCGAGACAATATCACCGTTTACTACGCGTTCTTTTTTTTAAAAATTTCTCTAACCACTTTAGCAGCATTCTTGTTGATTTATCGTTTGATAACTTGCTCAATCTTGTTACAATATCACTGTAATTAATTGCACTCTTGTTAAAATGTAGATAATTTTTTCCCACATCTTGATCCAGAATCTGGTAATACTTGGTCGCTCTCTATTGTGAAGGAGTTTTGAAAATTCTCGTTTAAGATGTCAACAATCAGCTTTTTACATTTTTTTGATCGTTTACATATATAAACAGTATCTTCTTGTTCCTAATCGATTTGTAGACCAGTTCGCTTTCATATTCTTTTCTGGCGTTGCTCGTTTAAGTTTTAACTGTTCTACACAATGCTTAGTATTCGTTTGCCATATTTTTGTTATTTCAATTTGTGCAACAATTTAATTGTCTCATTCGTCTTTTGTTCTTTACAAGTTTTTTTAGTTCATTGTCAATACAAAAAATTCTTTTAAGAGTCCTGTTTTTTGAGCTGTGACACGGTATAATTTTTGACAAACTTTGTTAACGTAAAAAATGAGCGTATCGTACATCTCCTGAACATTAATTGCATCAAAAAGGTTTACCCAGTCTACGTTTGTAAAAAATTGTTCATTCATGCGGAGTCAGCTTTTTTAAAAGTATATTTCCATTTGCTAGCTACAGTTATTTTCTCATGGTGATTGAGTGCATATTTAAAGCAAACCACAAGATGCTCTTTGCTTATATTCCCCAGTACCGCATTTGTCTCAACTTGAAATAATCTTTGTTTGTTTACTTTGAACAGTAAATCCAATGTATTCTCGTAAGTTGATTCGTTTAGTTGAAAAGTAGGTATCGCAAAGTGCTGAATTAGAAATTCGTTGTTTGATATTTCCTAGAAATGATGTTTTATTAAATGTTCACTGGAGTTTATTGCATGGACTGCTTTATCTGACTATTCAGTTTTTGGAAAATTAAAGTCACCCATAATTATTAGATCTTTAAAACCCCGTTTATCCACATAATCCTTTGCAGTTCTGAAAACATTTCTGAACAGTTCCATATCTATCACATCGTTTGGTCGGTATATGCATCCTACCAAATATTTGTCGTTCTTGAAAACTAGTACAGTCCAAGTTTGTTCTAAATCAGTCGTTAATAGCCATTTTTCATTTACTTTATAAGACTTTATTTCGCTATTCATGTAAATATACAAAAATTTTCCATGCACGTAAATGAAATTTCACTAAACCATGTTTCCGTTACTCCGATTATATTTGGTTCATTCAGATGACACAATACTTTAAATTCCTCAAATTTGTTATTTAATGAAATAGCGTTTAAAAATATACAGGATAAATAAGATAACTTTTCGCTTATTTTTTGATCTCTATAGTTATTTTTAAATCGTACAATCTCGTTTCCACGAATCACATATCAAAAGAGCGAGTTTGCGTCAAGCTTTGATTAATGTCGTTTCGTTTCTTCCACAACTCATAGTCCTGTAGTCTCTCGGCCTCTATCAAGTCTGAGCATATATAAACTTCTTTAAAATCTAGTACTTCTCTAAACTTTTTTGACGCGAGTAAGAGAAGATTTCTCTTGCCTTCGGATAATTCGAGTAGAATGGGGCCAGAATGAGGTTTGGCAGCATTTTTTGATTTGAATCTCCTCAAAAGTGCCGGTTTAACATTTTCTTTTCCTATTAATTTCAGTAAGTCCTTAATTGCTTTCTTGTCTTCTTCAATTTTATCTTTGCTCTCAGTTTGACTTGACTCTTTAATTCCATATATAATGACGTTCTTTTTACGTTTTTTTTCCTCCTTCTGCTCAATAATTGCTGCGTTTATCACAACTAGTTGTTCTTTCGGTTTTTTTGCGTTTCGCGACATCACATTAACTCAATCATCTCCAATGTTAACTGTTGGAGTCACAGCATTTGTTGTTTTGTTCTCCAACGTTTTTACTTCTCCAGGTCCATTTAATTTGATTATATTTTCAACAATCGCTGTTTCACAAACAGATATTTACTTGATTGACGCTTCTATTTCCGTCTTGGTTACCATTTCCGAATTATTGGATTATTGTATTTGTTTTGTATATCTCTTACGGTATAACGCATAAAATATGTATTTATATATTTTTCCGTATACATTATTTTATAACTTTTAATAATTGTCAATTTTTAGTATTTTAAATTTTTTCGTATACAATTATATATATTATTAATATTAATTGCCAAAAACACACAAAATTAAAATAATAATAATAATAAAATTTTAATAATAATGATAATAATAATCAAAAATTAAATTAATATATTTATAATTTTAACAAACTTAAAACAACTTAAAATGCTCTTAAAATAATGTTAATAATATTAAGAAACAAGACGTATTTAAAGATAATAAAATCAAACGTCAATAAAACGTTAGCATTACGTTATCAAGCCACGTTGATTATTTCAACGTCAAGATAACGTTGGCATTTAGTGGATTGACGTCATGACCAATAACCAACGGATTTCCAACGTTCAAAAAACGTTGTATGCTTGCTGGGTTTAGTGGTCCATACTTAAACATATATATATATATAATAAACATATATATATATATATATATATATATATATATATATATATATATATATATATATATATATATATATATATATATATACATATATATATATATATATATATATATATATATATATATATATATATATATATATATATATATATATATATATATATATATATATATATATATATATATATATGTATAAAGAAAATAGAACTTAATAAAAATATAATTCCGATTATTATTGAATACAACGTTTTACCAATAAAGTTCAACGTTGAATCAACGTAAATACAACGTTGCACCGGCTTAAAATACAACGTTGAAGTAACGTAAAACACAACGTTGTGTCAACGTATAAAATAAACCGTTGTATTAACATAGAAAATATAACTATTTTCCGACTTTGAAAAAACGTTATATCAACATTTGTTTTTAGTTGTTGACGACGTCGCATTTTTAACCATAATGAAATAAAAACAACGTTGGCAGCTGATGTTGGGCCAACAAAACGCGCGACATTGTCTTAATGTTTTAACAACGTATGTGTGCTAGCTGAGTAGCAACTAACTTGCAACTAATCGTAACAATAAAGACAACTATTTAGCAATAACAATCACTAGCTAGGCGTGACATTTAAACAAATATTTAAATAAAAATACTTTTATAAAAAATCAAATACAAAATGTACAAACTGTTTTAATAAAAAAAATATAAACTTTTTTTTATTTTTTTTTTTTCTGATATCAATGAATTATAAAATATATACTATTTTTCAAAATTAAAGCTAAACAGTTTTGGTTACATTAACTTTGTAAATACTATTTAAAATGATTTTAAAAGATAATAAAATATATTAAAAAAGTTTCTTTTTCGAATTTTTAATTCCTTCTAACTTTAAAAAATAAATTGAAAAAAAGTTATAACAAATAAAAAAACGTTTATAACAAGCATCAGCATGATAATAAGTTATTATATAAAGTGTTTGTCGGAATCACTATCAGTGATTCCGACAAACACGGTTTCAGTTATGTTAAATTTTTCTTTTTTTCTAGCAGAACTATGATTGCATATTAAAACGCATTTTTTTTTATGTAAAGTTTTTTCGTTGATTTTTTCAAGTGTATTCGCAATTATTTCAGTTACAATTTTTTAACTACTTTTAGAATCGCTTGTAGATAAAGCGCAAAGAGAGATAATCAAAAACACGTACCTAGGAAACGTAACAATTTATTTCCAATATGAAGTATCTTTTGAAATATAATTAACTTCAACTTTAAACGAGTGGTCAAATGTAATTCATATCACGAAAGGAAATGAGTATGATGACAAATTCAGAATTCCGAGTGTGTATTTTGAACCTAACAGTAACATTGCAGAAATTTGCTCATCAGTAAACGGAAACAACAAGTATTGTTTTTTTACAAAATCGTTACCAGTAATGGAATGGACTAAGGTAATGATAAAACAGTTTTTGACTAATGGTAACTACTTTTTTTCTATCAAAATTAATGATGAGACCGTTCATTCAGTTCAAAACACTGAAGTTAGTCTTTTTAAAAACGTTTTTGTTTATGTCAGCGATCCATGGTGGAGTGCAACACCAGGATACATAAGAAACTTATATATCCTAAGTAAGTTATTATTTTATTTTTATTTTTATAATTTTTTTTTAGTTTACATTAAAATTCACAAATTAGTTTATGGGTGAGCAACACGGTTGTTAAAATACTTGAAACAAACAAAGCACTTGTTGTTTCAAGATAAAAGCGTTTCCTATGACTGTAGCCTGGTAGAATCTTTAAGGAAGCAATATGCTACTTATGCGGTACTTTGGTAGCCTGATGCTGGATGCGTTCTATAGCATTTTTGTCTTTTTTAAAGTACTGGCATTAGGCGGTAACTGCAAACTTGAGGTGTGGGCGCATATAGGTAGTGTAAAGTTTTAACATTATTTAGTGTCTTTTAAGATTCCAAAGACTTTATTAATCTAAACAAAGGAGGTTTTATCTTGATTCTTGTGCTTTTGTTGGTTATTTGTACGCATAGGTTATTTTCGGATGTTGTTAACTCAAGATATGCATGTGCTGACTTTGCTGTTAGCTTTATGCTAATTTATTGAATAAACGTGTGGCAAAACGTTATATTATTTGATGTTCGTAACCTTGCATTTCTTGACATTGAGTTCCATTAACCAGGTTTAATTCAAGGTGACAATGCTAATAGTATCAGCTTGCAGACGAGCTTTGTCTTTAGCGGTTTTGACAAAACTCAGAATTTTATTGTCGTCTGCGTACATTTTACAGATACTTTCACTATTGACGTGTTTGGGTAAAAAAATTGATGACGATTATGAAAACAACGTAAGACCTAGCTTTGAACTATTTAAAACGCAACTGGTAATTTGTTTCCAGTTGGATGAGGTATTACCGAGAAGATTGCGTTGAGATCTATTTGAAAGTAAAGCTTTGAAGCAGCAAATAACTTTACTATCAATTCCGTAGAATTTAAGGTTTAGAAATAGTCTTTTATGAGGAACTTTGTCAGAAGCTTTGGCAAAGTAAAGTAAGAACATATCTATAGAAAGCTTATAAGAAATGCTGAGGTTGAAACGTGCAAATCTCAAGTTGACTTGTGATGCAGGGAGATGAAGCCGTGTAGACAACTAGAAAAATTTTTCTTGGGTACAAGGTGCTGTGTTATTTTGTCTTTTACCGTTTTTTCCATTATTTTGCATGGTACAGGGGTGACGAAGATTAGCCTGAAATTAGCTAGATTGAGTCTGGCGTCTTTTTTGAACATTGAAATTACACTTCCCGAAAACAAACTCTTTGAAATAAAGAAAATCTGAAAAAAAAGAATTTCTTTAAATTAGGTGAAAAAATTTGTTTGTAAAAAGTTTGAAATTAAAGGCAATTTTTTTTAATAGAAAAACACTTATAGGACGAAAAATGTCGTTTCTCACCTAATTCAGACAAAATCTTTTTATCGCTTTATCAGAATGTTATAAAAATGGAAGTTGACTTTTGTGAAAACAAAAGAAACAGTTTCTAAAAATTTTAAGGAAGTTGGTCGAGAAAACTACATTTACTATACTTCAACTACATTTACCACAAATTAAAGTTTATCGCAAGTTTAAATACTTTTACCACAAGGTTGATAGTGTAAGTGGAAACAAAAACAAAAAACGAAGCACTAAAAATGATAAAATTTTTCAACCACGCTAAAAAATTTGTAGAGTAAATGAAAGTTAAAATTATGTTATTAAATTTGAGAAACAGAACAATTTTTCAAAAATTTTAGAAACCTCTTAAGTCACACAAAACCAAGTTCATATTTACAATACCGCAAGGAAAAACTTTGTGTTCTATTAATCTACCAACACGACATAGTTTAGCATTATTTGAAAAATTATCACCATCTCGAACATTTGCAGTAGAATCATCAACAATTTTTCAAAAGTATCAGCACCACCACTATTATCTTTACCGACGTCTCTATCTATAAACCCACCGCCTTTAGCAACGCCACCATTCTCAAATACCGAAGTTGGACCATTGATGCAATTAACAAGGCTACACATTCCAAAAAATTCCTAAAAACTAGAATCAGTACAATGGAAGACGCTAGACAACTTGAATTGTTATGTTTAGAATCATGGACATTTATATTACTATTATTCTTATATCCCTCTTATTTTGTGAGGTTTGCAAACTTTACATGGTCAAACTTTCGAACACAATTTTATTTAATTAAATTTAAAGTCTATTAATAAATATAAATTTAGTTTAAATAATAACAGTATAAAACTCAGTAAATTATTATCCTCTAATTTAAAGATGGGGGAGTTGGGCATAATTCTATGATTTCTCTTGTTTCCAGGCACAAATAACAACAAATTTTTGCAAAGCATTCTCATTTGGTATAAACATAACTATAACCAAATTTTAATTTTTGTTCCATGGCTGAAAGCTATTCTTCTAAATATCAAAAAATGCTGCGGCGATCTCTAAAAAGGGAACCCCAATCAATTACTCAAAACTAAATTTATCTAGTAAATAGAAGTAGAAGAACATTTGCTTTTCTTCGCATTAATTTTCGTGGTTAAAAGTTAATTTAATTTTCTATTTAACTTCAGACTCCGCGAGGAAAAACTTTTGATAATATTTACTTATTAACTTAATTTAGCTTTGCTTAATTTATAAACAATCCTTAATAGAAAATTTTTATTTTGATTTCTAATAATATACGATTTTAAAATAAAAAAATTTTAAAATGAAAAAAAATATAATAATAATACTAAAAGTAACAACAACAATAATAGCAATAATAATAAACTTTTTTAAAGTCATCTCTTCTACTTTATATATTAATATAATTTGAAAACATCAAGTTAAAAAAGTTATGCATGTATTTTTATTTCATAAAAATATTATCAATAAATAATAATTCCAAAACAATTATATATTGAAGTAACTGTTTTAGTAAACAATTACTTCAATAATTTCATTCTTCAATCAAAGTTGAAAGAAGTTTGTCTTAGCTGTGCAATTTCATTGCTAAAACAAACATGTTTTAAGTTTGATTTTGAGATTTTGGGGGTAGTCACGATTTTTTTAAAACTCGTTGGTTCTTTTTCATACCAGCAAAAACACCTGGCCTCTGATGAGCTTGAATATACGTACCCGCATTATTGTTTGTGCCAAAGTTTAGACTGTCAAATTATTATATTGTTACGTTGTATTTAAACAATCAATACTCTACTTGAAAACTATGAAATATTTATCTATTTCTAATTCTAACGGCCTGTTTCTTTAGTATATTTGATTTGTATTTACATGACACAAAACAAACCCCAGGATAAGGTGAAAGTAGGTAAAAGTTGGACATTAAAAAATACTGTTAGATGCCATAATGCCATATTTCAAATGAAATACTTCATTTGTCGCAGTTTCATCTAAATTCTGAAGCTGTTCAGACTTTAGTTTCAAGGTTTAGAGAGCATTTTAATACTGATTCCAAATCTAGTTTTTCAGGACTTGATTTTGCATTGATATAATTGAAAGCTTCTGTTAAATAGGTCTTCAGTTAAATAGGTTTACGCCAATACAAATAACATAATCATTATTGTATAAAGTTTTTCTATTATGATAATGCAAACTTTTATTACGGTTACTCAACTCATTTTTTTATGTCATAAAATTATTCGCCCACACTTGTCAACTTAGACGGTTTTTCTTAGTACCATTTCCCAATCAAAATGATACTATGAAAATGTGAAGCAAACTTTTACAAATTAATACCTTTCCAAGTCTAAACTAACATAACAGGACCTTAATTAGAACATAACTAAGTTTAACGGCAATGAGTATTTTTACCTTGAGACTATTGCTAGGAAGATTACCATAGAATTTTTAAAAGCCCCTCCTATCTTTTAACTCATTTAAGAGAAGATCGTATATTTGAATTTTTTTTTTCCTATTTGATTTACCTTCACCATGGCAAAAGAGCCTCACCTGCTTTACCTATGTTTTGATTATATAAATTTTTACAATTGTCTTTTAAATCGCAGGTTTTTAAAAGTAAACACAATGACTGCTTTGAACAGAATTTTAAAAATTATAAGAAAGAATTATCAGAAAATTTCAAGGTAGTTTCTAAAGTAAAATCTACCTTAAAACTTTTCTCCTTTTTGTTCTTAGTGAATACTTTGTCCAATTTTTTTCTGGTCTTACGGCTTTTAAAGCTAAATTAGGTTTAACATTTTTATTCTGGAAAAAATTACTCTCTCACCAGGGTACTTCTTGTTCAGTTAGTCTTGCAAAAATACGATTATGCTTAGAATACTTTACTTTAAATTTTAGAACAAAAAGTCTAAGTTTTTCTAAGAGTTCCACAGTGGGCAGCACTTCATTGGGAATCATTATTTTTCGCGCTTTAGCTTCTAAAAGAGCTTGCAAATTCGCATGAGTAATACCAAACTTTTTAATTCTGTTTAAAAGTTCTAACCTTATCATGTCTAATCAACAGCAAACAAAACAATCTTGCAAACAAAGTCTTGTACACTTTACAATAAATATTTTCCGAGAATGAATCAGTTTAAACTTCTTTTGCAGAAAAGAGTTTTTTTTTTAAGTTTAAATAAGATTAGTATAAATAAATTGTTTAAGGTTCTATAAAATATAAATAGGAAAAAAGCTTTGGCCACTTTTTCGCGATTTAAACTACAGTGCGGTTTTTCAAGCGATAAATTAATGGAATAGTTAAAAAGCAACGTATTTTAATTTTTTTTTTTTAATTTTTTTACACGTTTGCTGTAATTCATTATATTTTCCTTGAAGTAAGTTAAAGTCTTTTCTGGTATTTTTGTTTTCTAATTGGATCGTTTTTACACAATCGATGAGCTTTTCTAATGTTGACAGCAGATTTAGATATGATAATTGGTGTAATATGTGACTGTTTTGTATGCATTAGCTTATAATTTATAAAAATCTTCATTAAACTGTTTTTCTGTAAACGTTATTTGCAACAAGTATATGTCATTTAAACATGAGGATTTTATTAAATCTCAGTAGATGGTATTAATCTTAGACTTAAAATATCAGGTTTGCTAATTTTCAAAAACCCTTAAGTG